ATTTGTGTCCGTGTTCTATCTCCATAACCAATCATCTGTAGAATTGTTATTTTGTGCATTTCAATTAAATGAACCATTTTTCTGATATGCAGTTAACTAAATTCAAACAACTGTAAAACTGAAGTTTAAAAACAAAGTACACAAATTTATTTATAGCTTTTTTTATTTCATATCAGGTCCACTGTTTTTTGCTTATTAAAACCTAAATGGGAAATAAATATTGAGTGTGTAATCAAATAATTATAATTATAGTTCTTTAACGTTAATTTTTTAATATTTCCGAAACAGTTGAAGATAGGTATAGGATATTGTACATGAAATATGTCTATAATTTTCTGAAGAATCCAAAAATTGAATAAAATATAGGGTGTTCCATTTGAAATTTGAAAGTTGCTATTGGCCACTGATATATGAGACACCCTGTATAAAAAGATTTTGTTGAAAAAAGTGCGCAACTAAAAATACTAATCGACGTGTCCGAGCATTTTTAGGAACATGCCCCCATTTATGTATTATCGAATTTATTCCATTTGGCTGATACACACTGTATATTTAACATATTGAATGAATAGTGTTAACTATGTGCTTTGGATTTACGTCCACCCATTTGTCTTTAACATTATTCAAGTTTAAATGGCTGTAATTTTAAAACTAATAGAGATTTTTTAATATATATTTTTTCTTAAATTAAAGCTAAGACGTTAATTAAATTAAAATTTGTAAAGGATCAAGATTTATGCCCAAAATATATGGTGTTAAAATTTTATAATGATATCTTTATTAGTTTTTTGTTTAATGAATTTTGGCCACTTTTTTGCCATTCCAGTCCACTGTGCGTTGCCGCAGTACATTCCGAAAAATCGACAGATTCATTATAAGGTAGTGAACCGCCTTACTGGTCGTCCCGGGGGTTGATGGGGTTAAAAGGTGTTAATAAATATAAACGCATCAGACCTTGCCATGACCACGGCCAGAAAACTAAGGGGCGGGCACCCAATCACAATGTAATTAGTTATTTAAATATTAATTGGGAACCTGTAATATATAGGCCACCATATATTAATTTTTACGGGTTTTGCTTTTGTTTTTGTGAGTTTGAGAAGTGAAATATGTGGAAAAGGAATTTTAATTGTAAAAATATATTTAGCTGAAGCCCTGGGCAATTTTTTAAAATATTTTTAGATTGTCAGAGATTTTTTTACTTGGGCTCATCCGACAAGTGTTATTTTAACACTACGGTATTTAAAATATGTTTTCTTTAAATTATATTCATTTGTAACGCCTCTGTTGTGCATTGTATCAATATCACGTCGTAGAGTGCATTCCTACGATTTTAACTGTTTTCAATCAAAACAACTAACCCGAAAAGTTTTATTCTTGTTGTTCTGCATAATCGAAGAATAACATTTCGCCCCATTGTCCCAAAAACGCCATACCGTCACGTACTATTCGACTTTTTCGGCATTTGACAATTCAAATTTTGGACACTATCTGAATAGATAGTGGTTTACGAAAAAAGACAGACTGAGATGTAGAAGAACTACCAAAACTTTACTTAACCCAAGTAACACAACCTTAAATTAACATTATTTTATAATAAGTGAGGAATTCAATTATGGTCAAATTAACCTTATGTTAGTTAAACTTAACTTCTTGGTTAAAAAAAAGGTAATATTTGGTAGTTGTTGGTCCATTTTACCCTTTTTAACTACTTTTTAACTCTTAAGTCAACTTAAACTAATATTAATCGGTTTAAGTTTATTTTAACTATATATTATTATAATTTATCAAATATGGTTATATATAATATATTATCTATAGATATGAGTTACAGATCCTTAAAATAAAATGTCGCCCCTGAATATTAATACTCATAATATGTTTGTATGTATAACCAATATATCAATTAAAATTGTAACTCTTTGGTTTTGGTTTAAATCCGGTTAATGTAACACATTATATTTCATAATAACCAAAATTAGTTCAATTAAACTAACTTGTTATTTTTAAAAATTTACAAAAATTCCCGCCGATCTTACATTTTGATTTTACTAAAATTAGTTGCATTTTTATAAAAACGCATCTGTTCTATGATAAAACCTATAGATGCATACGAAATTAATTAAATGTGAGGGGACTGTTTTAAGATATCTATAGATAAATAATGATTAACAACTTTGTTAACTATTCTGTAGTTAGTTGAAGTCTATATTTTTTTAAATTATTTTCTTTAGGCTCTATTATCACACAAAACTCACAACCTATAGGTTGGTATTGAGACCAACCAGATCTGAACGAAGTTTAAGTCACATAAAAATGCCACCAAAAACTGATTGCAGTTTCTTGTTCGGGACCCTTTGGTGACTTAAAAATAATATTTACCAAAATCCTAGGTGCTCCTCTTTTTTTTTGAAAATTCCTTTTTTTTTAAATTTTTGTTTATCTTACGTTGGAAAGAGTACACATTTGTACACCGATTTTTATAATATTGGAGTATAATGTTAACGAGACTTAAAGAATACTGTTTTTATACTGAGCACATCATTAGATTTATACAAGGTTAGCCAAAAATCACTTTTTTATATAGTAAAAAGCATAATGCACAAAAAAGATTTATCTCCAAAAATGTTATTGTTCTTATAAAGTCTTATAAAGTCTTAATAAGAATCCCATTTTGTGATAAACATAAAAATATCTAAAAAAACATGGGTGGGTATATCTTTTTGCGTGTTATGCCAAAATCATGAATTTACGCTTTTGCTTTATTAAAAGAAGCGATTTTTGGCTAACCCTGTATATATTAAATGATGTGCACAGTATAAAAAAGTATTCTCCAAATCTCCTTAACAATATACTCCAATATTATAAAAATCGGTGTAAAAAAAAATTATGAATTTTCAAAAAATTACGAAAAGAGGAGCAGCTAGGATTTTGGTAAATATAATTTTTAAGTCACCAAAGGGGTCCGAACAAGAAACTGCAATCAGTTTTTTGCGGCATTTTTATGTGACTTAAACTTCGTTCAGGCACACCGTGCAGAGTAGCAAATAATGCATTATTTTTTAATGCGTTAAGGTTTCAATACACATTATTAAAATAATGTGTAATGTGTTTAATTTTCATTATGCATGATGTCTTTATTAATGACAATTAAGTTAATTACTAATTACATTTTTCCAATGAGTAATACTCATTTTTTATTTGTAATGAGTATTTTGAAATTTTCAATCACAATATTTTATGTAAATGAGTAATGTACTCACTTTACATTACTCATTTTTTAAATTTTTAATGAGAAATGAATAATTATCGAGTTACTTACTCATTTTTAGTGGGCAAGGAAGATATTTTTATTAAATGACACATTTTTTCAATTTTTGTTTTGAATTGGTTTTTTACTAGTAACAGACGTTCAAAATTAATTATTCGTTCATACCATCGCGGATTCTATACTTTTTTGAGTTTAGGTCACCTTCTCATCTAATTATCATAATCCCACTATCAACCCCGGCTTAAAATTTCTTTAGTGTGTAGAAGTTTGATGAATACAAACAGTTTGAAAATTAAAATTTTAAAACTCAAAGTTTGCATGCAAATATGCTTTAGATAATTTTGATACACGAAAATTATAAGATTGTTTTGAAAATTTGATATCTTTTGAACGAGTTATCATAAAAATATCAAACTTTACCAGAAAGGGATTTTTAATGGGCAAGTCTTAAAAATATCGAAAAATAAAAGAAATGTAAAATTAACATTTTTCAAACTGTCAGACTTGGTGTAAAATGCTTCATATAAAAAATCACCCCATCAACCCTACCCCTGCTCATTTTTCACTGATGTAATGGGTAATGTCTTTCGTTACACTTTTTTTTTAATGTGTAATGAGATCGTACATACCTACTCATAACTCATTTTTTATTTTTTATTAGTAATGTATTGTTCGACATTACTCATTAATTTTTTAATGTGTAATGAAAATATTTCTCATTACAATTTTAATGATTAATGTATTCAAACTACATTACAAAAAAAATGACGATTGCATTATTTTTTACATTAACATTTTTGCAACTCTGAGACTAATTTTTCCATGCAGGTAACAATGAAACCATCACTTTTTTAACCAGTTTATTAATTAACGTTAATTTACCAGCGAGTTAAAATAGATTTGGTAAAATATAACTTGTTTGTTAAAAAAATATATCCAAATTTACCAAAGCTCTGGTTAATTAACCAAAAATGAATACCAAAAGGTAAACTAAACCAAAATATGTCTAAAAAATAACTAGTCAACCATTTTCAAAGGTTAAAATTAGAAGTTAATATAACGTTATGTAACTTCTAAAATAACCTATTTTTTAACCTATAAGTAATATTACTAACTAGTTAAATTGACTATAAATGCAAAATTAAGAAGAAGTTTTTTTTCCTGAAATTGTTGACACCCTGTGACATTGGCAATAACAGCGGATGTCAATTAAAATCATACTCACAGATTATACAACTTATCATACTGTCCTAACATCAAAGAGCAAATTTCAAGGAACAATAAACCATGTTTCAAGGATCAAAAGAGAATGAACATCTTGAACAAGCAGATACGTGACATATCCTCGTGTAAAAAGCACGTATAGACCTCTAGAGAGTTTGTTTGGTCATGGGAATATTTGAAAATTCGAAAAGTCGAAAAAACACCACTACCTGTCCATTTACATTCCGGTGGAATATTTGACTATTTGTTTACCTCGTGGGGTGGGTTCTCACGATAGCTCGTGCTTGTCCGGGCCTGGAAAGGATTACGATTATTACCTGACGCAGTCTGCCGAAGATAATTGATTACGTAATCGATAGCCAAATATTTACCCAATCATTCGCATCACTGTTACCTTTATGGGTCTGCTCCTTAAAGGTATATGACTTTTTAGGTAAAACGGACTTTTTCGTAAATAAATCGTCTAAATTGACCTTAATAGTAAAGTGTCAAAAATTTAAAAGCCAAATGTATAACAATGTAAATTTTCAAAAATGTAAGGTGTTTTAAAGACAATGATTTGGATAAACTCTGCTAAAATTCTACATGGATAATTTGGATAACCTATGCGAATGTCCGGCGTGTTTGGAAATTCTCAGGGGGAAAATTTACATTTGCAACAAGGGCCACAGTTTCTGCGAGGGGTGTTCGAAAAACCTCCAAAAATGTGCCTTGTGTCAGGGAGGCATGACCACGCAGAGGAACTTGCTGATGGAGAACGCCATATCGGAAATTTTGAAAATCAAATCAAACCCAAATTTGAGAAACCTGCTCAACCAAAAAGACTTCACATGCAACTCGTGCATAAAATTCATGAACAGCTCCATATACGTCGGAGAAGATGGCTGCAAATATTGTCAGGTTTGCTGGTCGGGCTCCAAAAACAAAATAAAAAGTGTTACAGAAAAACTTCCACATTTCCAGAAAATAAAAACTGAGGATGGGAAAATTAATGGCGGCGATATCACAACGTGTCCTGTTTCATCCTGCAAATGCACGTTTTCCAGGCACTTTTTGCTCCCCCACATCTTTTTAGAACACTCCAAACTTATCAGGAACGTAACAAGGCGAAAAAGAAGCTACACCTTACAGGTGAAGCACAAAAATCATACAGGGGTGTACTTCCTGAACTTTTGCAAAAAACTTTTTACATTATACTACACTTTCACTATAGACACGGAAAAAGTTTTCCTGGAGTTGGTGCCCGTGGAATACAAGGATTCAAAAAAGCTGGATTTTTTCATCAAAAATGCTTGGTTCAATAATTCCTCAAGATTGCACCTTTTCGATATTCACTTTAATTTAATATTTTGACTTTTTAAAGGAACATAATAAAACATGGATTTAGTTAGTTATTTTATTATCATCCTGAAATTTCAAACATGTACGCAAAGAAATTTGTTGTCAATCATTATAATTATATGAATCTTCTTGACAAATTGTATTACTCTAACTAACAACACCTAGAACAGAAATTGTGGTTGCTACAAATATTTTTATATGTGCATTTTAGTCATGTACTTGTTGCGTTTGTCACTATAATCTGGGTCCAGAAAATGATAATTGTGTGTACATAAGTATTATAATGTATGGTACAAGATGAGGTTTTTTACAACAATTACTAAACGCATTTTTCCAAATTGTCGTAAAAATAAAAGAAGTGTTATCACTGCCTTCAAAAGTGACACAATATTGTAGTTATTATTCAAGCAGCGACCAAAATTCACTTTTGCAAATTTTAGCATATTATAAGACTATATTTATACATTTCGTATAAAATGTTGCATTTTTAATGCAACCAAATAAATTTGTTCCTACAAATTGTAGCAGATCTTTGATATATTTTTGGGGGGCTGGATGAAGAGATAAAAAAGCCAATAGCACTGTAAAATAATTCGTAAGTTTTATTACTGACTGGTATAAACATCAACATATTAGTCTTACAAATAAACTTAATGCTGAAAATGCAGTATGCATGCCTTACAGCTTTAAAATAAATACATATTTCAATGACGAATAAAAAAATAAATATTACACAAATAGGTGTTTTGGAACGCCCTTATTTTGCTCTATTCAAAAATGTACAAATATATCTGGTGTCCCATTTAAAAAATATTTATTTGATGAACGCGATGCTCCATTGTTTTGGTTCCGACATGTTTAAATATTATCGGTTCTTTTGCAGCTGCTTCGATTACCTAAAAGAATACACTGAAAATAATTTTATTCGTAATATCAATAAACACTATTTATCGAAATTTATTTATTAGCACAATGAATATAATCGTTAAGTCAATTATTAGGGGTTCTTGGATGATTAACAGGGTTATTGGTTTAACGAATTACTGTTCATTACTTTTTTCCTACGAAGTCAGTAACTTTTTTTACTGACACAATTAATCCTGTTCATTGGGCCAATAAACATAGTACATCAAGCGCGTTTACGTAAATTGATAAACAAAATTCGTTAGATTAATGAATACTGGGCATTAATCAATGAATGCATTCGTTATATCAATGAATCAGTTCGATAAATAAATGAACGTGTACATTGGTTTAAAGAAATATTTTGATTGATATTACGAACAATTGTACGTCAGGACAATGAATTCATTTATTAACTGATATAAGGGTTTCTCTAAGCCAATAAATGCATTCATTGACTCAACGAACGTTTATTGACTGATGAATACATTCGTTGGGCCAATAAATGCGTTTATTAAGCTGATAAACAGTACATAAAATATAAGATATTTTTTTGGTTAAAACAAAAATTGCCGGGACATAGGTAAATTTCACAAAAGACACTATAAGATTTATCCAGTCTAGTCCCTAATTACCTAGGCGAAGGAAGGCGTCTCGTCGCAAAGGATATAGAGGTTCCCTCGCGATACTTATTATTTACGCAAATCAAATTCTTTGGGTTTTATATAAAGGTGAAGTTTAAGTTGATATTCTGGTTTAAAATTCCAAAGGGTAAGTACATTTCAATTTACATATTTCACTATGCACTGCTTTTTTGTCATAATCGTTTTGCACTTTCGTTAAGGATTAGACATTTTAAGCGCCAAAAGGTTGTTTGTTAATCGTTGCAAAATCTATGCAAGGATACAATTTTGATAGCGGAGACGAATTATTCTGTTGAATCTCAACTATCCGGTTCAAATACCATTATAGGGTATTTTAAATCAATTGATCAACCAACTAAAAATATTCCTATTATTGCTCACCAGATCGACAAGAACATCTTAAATGATGAATCTGAAAAACCCTGTACCTTCATCATAGATGAATATCAAAAAAATATTGAATAATGAAGCAGCTAAATTTGTCTTGGCCTTACACAATAACAATATTTTTTCTCGAAAGGATGTGTTCAATAATCTTAAAAACTTGAATTCTTTTTTGATCAAAACTTTTAAAAAACTTTTGTTAAATCAATATAAATTTGTAGTTCCGGGAACTGACGGAGAAGCATGCCTAAGGGCATGATAACTATTGGAAGACATGGTACAGATTAAACGATCTAGAAATGGCAGAAAACTGTGGACAAATCTTGAAGAAATTGTCTCAATACAAAATTCCAAAGGGATATCGATTGGTACGAAGTATGAAATAAAAATCGAATGTTTAGTAATATTACGAGATGATTTATTTTAGATTGATATGGATTTTGAAGGAGCATTTTCCAAGAGCGACTGCTTACTTAGCCATTGGGAGGAATGCTTTCAGAGGATTTTTGATTTTTTGAAAGTTCCAGGTAACCTTAAAGAAAAGACTACAAAATGTTTGCTGGACAACATTGAGGATGAAAGTCATTTCAATATTTTCAGATGGGCGTTATGCGGCAGTATTATGGGCCCTACAACACTACAAATTAGTGTATAAAAATATGTAATGGTATATTTTCACCAACTGTTCATCTTTTCCATTCCATAAACAAGGCAAACATGTTAAATGCATAGTTTTTGACAATAAATGTTTATTTATTTTTAATGTATTCTTTTATTAAGTAGTAGTGTAAATAGTTTCGTTAGATTAATGAACGAGTTGATTGAATGATTGAGCTAATGAATGTGTTCATTGGATCAATAAACCCGTTTATTAGATCAATGAATACGTTCGTTGATTTTATGAACAAAAATGATTGAGCTTATGAATGTGTTCATAGATTAATAAACCCGTTTATTGGATCAATAAATATTTTCATATAATCAATAAACCTGTTGATTGAATGAACGAATATCTTGATTGCATCAATAAATAAGTTCATTGATTCTACAAACATATCCATCAATTCGATAATAATATTTATTAAATCAATAAATATTTTTATTAACCCAATTAAAAAAGTTAATTGAGTGATAAAATTATAAACATCGACTAATGTACAAGTATTCGTTGGCCCAATTAACTCGTTCATCGGACGAAAAACGATAAACAGAGTTCGTTAAGCCAATAACCTTTTTATTAATATTACGTACCTTTTTGGTTCAGTGTAATTGTATAGGGTTGTCCAAAAAAATCGGAACTTTTTTCTAATGAAGGGAATTTTTACTTTTTAGTCCATACATTTTTGAGTGAAATGAACCCTTTTCTAGTTTTTCTATTTTATAAATTGTTTTTATGAAAAGTAAATATTTTACTAAAAATGCATTGTTGTTTTAGATTTTTAAAGCAAAAACGCATTTATACAAGGTATACAGATTTAATTTTTAAGTTTTGTTTTCGAGCACACTAGGACTAGGAAGCTAAGAATATGAAATTAACTTACTTTTAAATTCTTCGATAAGATTTTCAAAACCTCATTCTTTCAATAAATCTTCCACAAACTCATCCTCACAACAAAAATTATTTTTCCGTCAATTTTGGCTTGTTTACAACTAGGGTAAGTAGTTCTGTCCGCTACCTACACTTAAACCTAGATAAATATTTAGGCACTCGAATAGGACTTAAATGCAATTATATTTTTATACAAAGGGACGTTGTTTTGGTATGCCAAGACAAAACACGCTATAATTGTGAATTAACCAATCAGAGAAGAATTTTTTACTATAAACAGCTTGCACACATTTTTCACACAACTTGCGGATAAGTTTACCACAACGTCGCGACGTACCAGAAATACATAAAGTTGGGTTGTAACTACAGGGGGGCCTAGGGGGGCCGGACACCCCCCAGACATCGCTGCCCCCCCCCAGGAAAAGGCTGACTTATAATTTTTTGGTATTACCGAAATTGCAATAGAAATATGTATCTATCATTTACATATCTTAGGTTGAATAGAAATTTCATCAGGATCATCAAATTCGAATCATTCATGCTTGAAACCGAGATATTGGTGGTAAAATATATGCTTACTCTAAAAAATCTGGAAACTAATTTATAAATTTCTATAGAATCAATAAAAACGCATATTAAAAAAGACGTTTGTCCAAACCTCTACCTACAAATTAATTCAAATTGCTTCTCTGCCAATGGCAGTGCCATGCGTCGGATTAAAAATTGGACCAAATCTACAATGACTCAATTCGATTCGCAAATGTTTCCATTATAAACATCGAAAAAGATTTAGTTAAAGAACATGTTACAGCTGATCGGGTTCTGGAATTATTTTCACAACCAAATAGGAAATTAAAGTTGATTTAATGCTTATTTTATAAAATGCATGCGGTACTTTTTTGTCTTTTTTCCAATACCAACTTACTTAAGGTTTTTATTTTATATAGGTATTATTATTATACAGTTTTTTTTTTCATTCTTAGGTATGTTAAAAATTACCTTGTTATTTTATTAAACATATTAGAACTGTTTGATAAAAAAAATTGGTATTTGTGCCTTTTGGAGACAACATTTGTTTTACTTTTTTAAAAATTCCTAGTCACTAAAACAGGCCCACCCTAGGCCCCCCCGGGTCAGATGGCTAGTTACGCCAATGAGTATTACTCGCGTTGGTATTGTTGCAACATGCGTTCTTCATCACATACTAAATGCATTATTGCTACAATTTGTTTATTTCTTGTTTAACACAAACAATGCAAATCTTTACAATTGGGTTAGTTGCTTGTTTTACACATTACCATTAAATTTTGTTACATTTTGCGACAATTCTCTTACAGCAAAATTATGTACTAGGTATATTCAATTTAGATCATAGCAAGTGAAGCGACAGTAACATAAATTCTTTTCATGTTTGAGTGCAATATTACCACAAATTTTTCACAACAATATTGTGGGACAAAATTTGAAACTATTTCTTTCCGTGAACATGGTTCCCACAAGAAGACATCGCGATGCACCGTAAAATCGACCAAATAACAAAAAAACAAACGGTACAGTGGAGTGCGGCATCGATGGGGGCAG